ACTTTTTCATTTCATTTTTGTTAAATAATTATTTTATATAATATATTTGTATTCCTGTTCGAAGAGACTATTAGAAATGGAAAATAGCGTCATATTGTACTAAGTAGAAACAAATTATAGTTACTTTTTTCTGCACTCACAATGTACCAACATCTCAATTCAGTCTTACAGGTTGTTAAACATTATTGCCAACAATTTCTGCTGAACACTTTTTATCAAGTTTTCATATGCATATTATCGATCTTCAACCTGCAATTATCAAACCTTGCTGAACTACTATCAATCTATGATTCTAGCAAAAAAAAGTCCTCTTTGAACTCTCAATCAAAGAAAATTTACATAATATCCGGAATCGTTGTACATTTTCTTCGAGTTGCTGGTTTCTATAAAAATCTTCAATTTCCTGAGTTTTCTAAAACCAGTTACTTAACCTATATTTACTTAATCCATTTTGCCACTCGTTCGAAATTATGTTTGTTCATAAGAAAAATTACTGTACTCTGTACATCCATAAAATCAGAGATTCGTATCATTATTCATTAGTATATCCTTTGAAATCAAAGGCACAAACACTCTGTAAGTTAATGCTGTACTAATTTTTGTCCGATAAACCTAATTTATTCCGATAAAACTTTGTCAGTATCTTCTGTGAGTATAAGCAAGAGAAAAGTGTATAAACATATGTATGTAGGTCGTTTGAAGCTTCGTCAGAAAGTTACAGCAAAAATACGAAATACGAAAGGAATGACAACAAACTGGTGCTCACTGCGATACAAGACCAAAATAGCACTGGCAAAATTTACATTCAACACCTTAAACAACCTCAGATCGTAAACACAGATCTCACAAACAGGCTAGATGTAATATCCCTGATCTACTCCTATTTCGTATCGTAACCTCACATCCGTTACCATTTTCTTCCTATTTCGTATTATCGTTGTAACTCATTAATAAACCTTCAAAGGACCCATGTTTATATAACATTTTTCTCTTACATATACCCATAGAATACACCGACGAAGTTTCGAATCGATCGAGGAATTGATCGAAAAAAATTGGGACACCCGGTGTATATTCCCAATCTCCGAGACCAAAATGAACACCTTCCGTAGTAAAGAAAGAGGATCGGTACATTCTGTGCGTCTACGAAATGATCAGTCACGTTACTCACTAGGTAAAGAGTAAGTAGAGATTACACACGGGTGATAATTCAGAATTAAGCGAGAGTAACGCGAAGAAAGAAGAAGAAGAAATAGCGGAGAACGCGCGACGCCATCGATTACTTTTCCCAGGAGGAAAAGTGAAACACGGATTCCTCTCGGTCAGCCGTGACGAGCTGGAGAAAGTTTAACGTTGGGCAAGCCGCTTCTGGTCAGCATTAATTTCTCACAAAAGAACGATGTGTATCTCGAGTATTTGCGTAACCTGTTACAGTGCGCATTGCCCGTTGCATGTGCAACATTGCAACAAGTATCGCGCTTATTATCCACCGTCGAACTGAACGGTGATTTCCTCCTCGTTTCGATGTCAACCGTGATATTTGCGTCAACTACGAGATTACACAGGACTTTGATGAAGGTTTTTAGGTGACACAATGTTAACGTGTGCCTTTCAGAATTTCTGTGTAACGAGTAATACGCCAACTTGTAACAGTTTCATGGAAATGGTCATTGGGTCAGCGCAGTTTATTTTTACCAAGATTTCAACGCAGTCCTTGAAAATTTCTTCTCAATTCAATTTATACCTAATTCAGATTCGAATAATTTCTGGACAGTGTTTCTCTTAAGTGTGATCAAAGTGTGTAGATATCTGATGAATGTAATTTTTAAGTAGAACGAGATTTGATACAATTTTCTGAATGCTATTTGAAGCATGATATAAATGACTCTTTACAGAGAATTTTTAGTTTTATTTTCGTGTTGTTTTGGTTTGCGCGAAATGTAATCTTTTTACACGTGAAACATCTTTATCGACGAAACGTTCTCACACGAGATGTGTGTGTACGCATTCGTGATGCACAATTTTCTACAACTTATGGCACTTCCGTGCAATTCTCGTTTATGAATCCTGCTCGTGTAAAACGCGTACTGCAAATTTGTCTCTCTGAAATACATTTACATGTACGTGGAGGTTTTAGCCCTGTTGATGTAATTTTCGGTAACAACGGGTACACTTACGAAATCTAGCGGCAGCAGAATTTTCGTTTATAAATTTTATTCGTGCGAAATGTATAAGCGAGTAATTTACTTACGTTGTCGACGTAGAATTTCACGTCGGCGAAATTCGCGACTGAGAAATTTCTATTTGCGAACGAGAACTCTGTGCGGCATGGGAAACGCGCGCGTAAAATCCCCTTCTACGAAATTTTCTTCCGTGTTACGTCGTGAAATGGGACTGTAAAAAATTTATTTCTATAAATTTCATCTGAACGGTGACATCGAAAAATTGAAATTCGTAAATTTTACTAACGCGTGTGATATTAAATTTGTATAAAGAATACCTAAAGCTTTCTTACCTAATCTTTTTTTATTTTTAACAAGTTAGTAAAAATTCGGCTTAACTCTCGCTTTAATTTAATTTACATAAAAAGTACCTTTACAAATTACAATATTTTTTACATTTGACAAGTTTATGAAAATTTCGTTTTAATTCTCACTTTAATTGGATTTTAATCTAATCTGATGGAATAAAATTTCAATAAATTTTAAAAAATTTAGGTTTGCAATTGTGACGAAGATTTTAATAAATCTTAGGAAGAAAAATGATCTTTTCTCGATTATTTACTGAATATTGAGCAGCTACGATAATGCAGGAAACAATGTATTTTCCAATTAATTGCGCAAGTAGTCATTACACATGCAAGACTGCGTTGGACGTCATAATTAACATACTTAAGATTGCTATACGATGTCCCATCGAGTTACATTTGACTTATTACCTGTCATAAATTAGCTTCTCAAGAATAAAAAGTATGTGGAAAAGATCGATAGTTTTGCAAACGCAATGTGATGGCATTTGAATGAATACTCGAATGACTGTATATTTATACGATATGAATTTTATTAATAGTAAATTACAAACATTATTCTGCAATCAGCACTAATTATTTTTTACCATGGTGTCTGTGATTTTGATGTTAATTGGAACATCATTTTCCCTTCAATTAGTGTATTTATTTAAAATTTATATAAACCTTCAACCACGCTAATTTCTAATACTTTCCTTCTAGATTTAAAAATATGCTGTTCGTTGATAGAAACGACTAGAAAGTAACAGAAATGCTAAGTTTCATTATTTTTTAAGAATTAATTCAAAGCAAATTTTTAAATTTGATAGAAATTGACTGAAATCATATTAAAATTTTTCAAGAATTTAGAACTGTATTTCAGGATCTTTTTCGCAAGTTAAACAAAATGAAGGATTTTCAAAAGAATTTTTATTAAAATATTAGAAATTTTAAACGTAGTTCTTAATTCTTAATTTGGAATTCTTAATTTTAATTAAAATGAAAGAAGAATTTTTCAAGGACACTTACTAAATTGTATCTCAGGATTTCCTTCATAAGTTAAACTTACGAATTTTGGTTGGAATGATTCCAGATGTTGCTGATTCAACCATCAGAGGAGATGTCAAAGCAGATTCGCGTGGAGCTGAACGAAAATGTGACGACACGCGATAAAGACGTGGAAATCATCAAGGAGTGGCTGTCGAAGCAACCACATTTACCTCAGTTTGATGGTAATTGCACCGCGATCGATATTCCTCGTTAAATCTAACAAATTTACATGTTTCAACGTTTCCTTAACATTTCTTCAGCAAACGAATAATTGAATGATATTTGCTTAATGATGAATTATTCCTGGAAAATTTAGTTATTACCGTTAAACGACGAAGAGAGATAACAATCGAGTGAAAATCGATTCCATAGTTCGCTAATTAAATTCTTTTTCAATCACAATTATTAGGCACAGTAAAAAGTAACAATAAAAATGGCAAATTATTCGAGAAAATATTATATCTGGATATTACACGTTTTGCATAAGTTCTTTGTCACAGCAACTCGTTTATGACTTATGGTGACTTGTTTATCTCGTTTCTTCTGAAAGAATTAATCCTGCAAAAAATGGTAATTTCATAGCTGTGACATTTAAACGTTTAGTCAGTGTAAAGAAATATGAAGTAAAAAGGAAGAATATGGAAACATTCGTATTCCACGGTATTCCGAATTTTAAAGTGCTTTTAATCTTTTGAAAAGTTTCGTCCCTCTACATAGGATGTCTTAAAGTACAGTTCAAATAAGATAAAGTAACTTTCTTCCTTCTCTGAAAAATCTTGTTCCGCAAATTAAAAGTATCACAGCGAATTGTTCGTGTTTTCATTTATTTTCAAAACTATGAAATACAGAAATAAAATTCCGAGGAAGTGCAAAAAATGAAACGTGACGAAAATATCCCCGACTTGTGTTAAGGATAAAAACAATTCAAAAAAATCACGGTGCAATATAAAAATGACAAAATCGTGTTGTTTGTCCGAACATCAAAACGTGTTCTTAATTTCGCAAATAAGATTAACGAGATCGCTCGGTGAATTTCCATTTTTCATTCTCACGATTGTTTACCAGCTTTCGACGTTCCTTGCTCCTGTACTTGGGTCTCTTTTTTTCCTCCATTCCAGACGATCACAGGCTAATGACGTTCCTGCGTGGCTGCAAGTTCTCCTTGGAAAAATGTAAAAAGAAGCTCGACATGTATTTTACAATGAGGACCGCGATCCCGGAGTTCTTTTGCAACCGTGACATCACCAGACCTGAACTCAGAGAAGTCACCAAAATTATGTACGTTTTTCTTCTCGTTCTTGAAAACATTCCCGGGCAAAGTAAAATTTGTATTTATTTCTATGTAATTGTATTAATTCTTTTTTATCTGATCGATTCTGTTCGAAACGAAACATAAACGGGGGAAACATAAACGTAAGATGGAGGATTTTAATGGAAGGATACTCCTGTGATTGTATGTAAATAGTAACATTTCAGGTAGCCCTGTCGCGTCTCTGAAATCGAAAATTTCCTAATTCGTCCGGCACGAGTAATTTTCGCGACACCATTGACACGAACCGCAAGCCAAGCGAGAAACTTTCTGAGGCAAATTTACATAGCGTAACGAGAAAAGTTCCCGCTCGTTTTAATAAACTCCGACTATTCGGCATTAAGTTCTATTTTCGCGGGGACGAAAAAATGATGGTGTTCTTCCCGTGGCTTTCGAATGTGTCTCCGGAGGGAATGAGGGAAATTAGTCGAGTCAGATTGGCTTGATTATTCGCTTCGTTACACTTTTTGTTCGTTTGAAGGAAGAGGAAGGTTGACTGAAATTCAAGAGCGTGTTGCAAGAAAGTATTAATTGATCAATTGGGCGAGTTTAGAAGTTCATTTCGAAGGGTTATTATGAAAGAATATTATCAGGAATTCTATGTGTAACATTACTGTTAACTTTGCTTCAGTTTTCTTCTCTTGAATTGTCAAATACAGCAATATTTCGTTAATAGAAATATACCGGGTGTCCCAATTTTTTTGGTCAAACTTTGTCAAACTTTGTCAGTATGTTCTATGGGTATAAGTGAGAAAAAAATGTCATATAAACATAGGTCGTTTGAAGCTTCGTTAGATAATTTTTCAGCAGAGAAGAAAAGAACAACTAACGTAAAATCATCTTTGCACTGATTTTATCCACCATCTAAAGAAAGTAAATATAAATAACATAATTTTTGCAGTTTCGTAATTTTACACAATGTTCATATTTTTTACCAATTCCTTCTCAATTTTCCCTGCTAAAATTGTCTACCTTTATTCCTAAATTTTCTTTTCCATTTGCTCTGTTACTATTCTTCCTCGGTCAGTACAAATTTCTTCTCAAACTTTTCAACATCGTCAATTTCGAAATCCTCTCCAACTCTTCGTACAAATTTTCCACAAGTCTCTTCTAAATTTTTCCCAAATTTCCTTCCAATTTGCCTCGCTGTAATTTGCACGATACTTATCCTTCCAGTCAAATACCTCCACTGCCAGGTCTGACTAAAAATGGCCGCCGTGTGATCGTGATGCGGGGCATCAACAAGGATCTCCCGACTCCAAATGTGGCTGAAGCGATGAAACTGGTTCTGATGATCGGTGACGTACGCCTCAAAGAAGAATTAACCGGTGTAGCGGGGGACGTTTACATCCTGGACGCGAGCGTCGCGACGCCTGCTCATTTCGCCAAGTTCACGCCGTCCATCGTGAAGAAGTTCCTCGTCTGCGTGCAAGAGGCTTATCCGGTGAAGTTGAAGGAGGTGCACGTGGTGAATGTCAGCCCATTGGTCGACACTATCGTCAATTTCGTGAAACCGTTTCTCAAAGAGAAGATTCGCAACAGAATCTTCATGCACAGCGACTTCAAGACTTTGTACGAGTATATTCCTAAGGAGATCTTACCGACTGAATATGGCGGCGACGCTGGACCCATTCAGGCTATTCATGGTGTGTAAAATAGAAAAGTTGTTTAACAATGTTCTTATGTAGGGCGTATGGGAATGTAAGGAGAATTGAGAAATGGATTTATGGACTATGGTGTGGGTTAACTTGCTTAGATCGTCACCGTACGACTCTCTTTTTCCCGCCGTTCCCAAATGTGCGTCGCCAAGGGCCTCGAGGGTTGGTTGACGATGCTCGTGGCGTCATAGTCTTCGGGCCCGATATCACCTACTCCTATTACGTCGAGAATGCCGTCTCGACGGCGCGTCACGGCGCCCTCGAATTTTCTTAAAGGGTCGCTCACGACTGGCCGTCCTCGGCCAGAGCCGTCACTCTTTTATTATTGTTTCACAAATATCTCATACATATACATATGCATACATTCTGGTTCGGCCCAGCGTTCGGTGGTTCCCCGGGCAAACAAACGCTGGGTCCTTGGTCTCTGCCCGTGTCAGCTGCACCCGTGCCATAGTGCACCTGTACCCTACACTTAATTGCAAATAATTTTCTTAATTCTGTATATATTATATACTGTACTTAAAAAAAATTTCATATTTCTGTCAGAAAGTACCCTAATTCGGAATAGGGTGGGCGTAAAATTAATTAAACGTTTCTACGTTCTCGCAGCAGTGTATTTTACACGAAGACTATTCTCGCGTTGTCTGAGCGTCGTTCGCAAAAAGTACGCGTTGTAGGGTGGGCGTAAAATTAATTAAACGTTTCTACCTTCTCGCAGCAGTGTATTTTACACGAAGACTATTCTCGCGTTGTCTGAGCGTCGTTCGCAAAAAGTACGTGTTCGACGGTCTCGTGAAGAGTGTGAACGCGTCGTCCTGCCGATCCCTGTCCACTCCTACGCGAACAGGCCCAGGGAAAAACCCAAAGGGGCGAGTCGTCCCCACCGAGCGCGCTGGGTCCGGCTTCAAGGTGCTCGCTTCACCGTCTCCGGGACAGATTTTCTCACATTTCAGTTAACACTTCCCTAATATCTATCGATTTCTAAGAAAATTTCAGAAGAAAAAGTTGCAATTCAGACACACTCTTCAATCGTGTATAAAAATTGCAAACACTTTAGAATTCATATTTCCCACTGTCATTTTCTCCATTTTCCCCCGTAAATTCTATCAATTCTAACATCACATTCGTACATTTCACTAAATATTTTCTACCTCTTTCAATTTCATTTTTCTTCTTTTTCCCTTAGTCCGAAATTACGAATTTTTGAATTCTTATTTTCCGATGTTTAATCGTCCATCATTCGTCTAACGATTTTAATTTGAAATTTTTCCTTCGTTCTTGTTACAACGTTTCAACATCTTGCACAATTTTCAGCGTATAAAATATCACACTCTTTTATTAGATTTATCAAAATTCACCCAACTGAATGAAAACTCATAATTTCTTCTCCCTCAGAAACCTGGATCAAGAAACTGGAAGAATATGGTCCATGGTTCTCCGAGCAGGAGTCCGTAAAAACGAACGAGTCGCTCCGACCCGGAAAGCCAAAGAATTTCGACGATTTGTTCGGACTGGACGGATCGTTCCGGCAGCTTGTGATCGATTAAACTCAGCGCTCCTCCACTTGTCGATCTGTGACAGCTTGATCAGTTTTCATTTCGGTGCTAACTCGAGGAAAATTCACTCCGGGGAGAAAGGAAGAGATAAGACGTCCTCGCGACGATGTCCATCCAGGAGAAACGTGCTATTTCGATGAAAAATTTTGAATCACTCGTCCCACGTATCAATATCGAATTGTTTCCTAATTTTCCTACCAGCTGAATATGAATTTTTTTCAATATTCAAAAAAAATACTTGAAAAATACTTTATTATTAAAAAGAAATTTTTAAAAGCCTTTTTACATACTTTGGAAAGTAATTCTGAATTTTTTACCGGAATTACATATGTGTTTGTACATGTTTCATGTATTGTAAGAAACTCTATTTATCTTTTGTACGTCGATCGACGATTGACTCTGCGCTTTGTAACACTTTCAAGAGGATCGTTACGTTTATTTCCTGTTTTGCTTGTGCACAATGTCGGTGATGTTGATTAAATCGTAGAAAAATTATAAGAGGTTGGTTAAACGTGTTGGAGCAATTTATATACATATATATGGATTTTTGTGGTTAAACTGGTGATACTGTACGAATTTTGTTTTTTTTTTGCGAGGAAATTTCACGAAGATTTTTTGTGGTTTTACTGATCTCGTATACGAATTACACACTCATAGCGTATAACTGCTGTATTTAGTTAGCAAACAGGTTTGGAGAGCTTGACAGTAATCTCGATGATAATTATTTTATATGGTATTTTTTACGATTCCTTTTTTATCGTTTGTTGAATAAACCACTGTTTCATTAGATACAAATGTTTCAATAGTTCCGACGAACTTGCTATTTTGAATACACCGAATGTATCAAAGATTTTGTTGTTCATTAGTAATAATATTTCTTTCTTTCATAATTACTGGATCATTTATCATATTTCTGTAAATATTATTAAAAATTTTGTAACGCGTATTATTCTATATTTAAAGTAGCAATATTAAGTTCGAAAATGTGAAGTATTCTTCTGGTAACTGATGATATAAATTTAGCAAATGATTCTTTAATTATTTCGAGTTATGATGTTAACATCCATAAACCTTCATCTATTTGTACAGATAATAGATGCCATTTTGATTATTCTCCGTCGATTAATAATTCACCAATAATTAGTAAATACAGGATTGAAGAGCTTGGAAAGTAACGCTGCTACTTAAAAAATATTCTGAATAGAAAAAGGAAGAAAAAAAGACACTTACTTTATTCGATCAGAAATTAATATTTAAACAAAGCTAAAAGTAAATGTTTACACGTTAAATTCACTCTGAATGCTAACAATCCAATGATTAATAAATATACAATTAGATAGCTTAGAAAGTAAGGCTGCTGTTTGAAAAATATTCTGATTGAAAATAGGTATCTGTTTTACCTAGTCGAAAATTAACGTTTAAACAAAAGCAATGGTGAATTTTTACGTTTGTTAAATTTTGAATGTTAGACTTTGTAATTTGAATTTTAATTGGCAAATTCGATTAAAAATAGACTTTGAATTTCCAATCGATTTTTGCTGTAAAAAAGTTATAATTTCCTCTCGAGAATTGGAAGAAACTATTCTGCGAGTGATAAGTGGTAAATAATCGTAGACTTTCGTTTCAAGCACAAAACAATTCAGCTCTGCGTCGTAATTATCCGTACATACGTAATTCGTTCATTTCGTTGTAATTACAGCGTCGAAAGTAGGTTAGAACGCGTACGTATCGCGTAGTACTTTCGATTTTTGAAAGTACCTTCTTTTTCAACTCCACACCACGACCCACATTGTGGGAAATAGGCTCGGTTCATGTGCAATGTACGATATGTATATCTCTGTAGAAACTAACAAACGTGAAGAGATCGTTCTTCTCACAATTACAGCGTTACGTGTATTTTACAACGAAGAAAAACACGAGTATATAGAGAGAGAGGTGTAGTTCTTTTCTTTATTTTTTTTTTTTTTTTTTTTTTTTTTTTGTACAGTATATGACGTTCTGTAATTAACGTAAGAAATAGTAGATATTCTTTTAGTAGATATAGAATGTAGTATGATGAAAAGAAGAAAAACATTTTTTCTCTTTTATTTTATTTTTTAAATCACGAATTTTGAATTCGTAGTTTTCGGTATTTAATTATTCACCATTCATGTAGGTAATTTTATAGACATATTTCTTCTTTTAGTAGATATAGAATACAGTATGATAAAAGAAGAAAAGCATTTCTCTTCTTTTTCTTTCAAATTGGGAATTATGAATTTTGAACTTATATTTTTTGGTATTTAAACGTCCACCATTTATCTAATGATTTTATAGACGTACTTCTTCTTTTCATAGAAGTAAAATATTTTTCTTCTCTTTTTAAGTTTGAAATACGAATCTTTGACTTTTTATTTTCTGATGCTTGATTATCTAAATCATTCATATAATGATTTTAATTTGAAACTTCTACTTTACTCCTATTCTCCGTCCTTGAAAATTTTCAAAACGTATTTGTTTATACAAAGGAGTTTGTATTTTATTAGAAATCATTTCCTTTCAAAGGTGAGTCCTAAATAATACGTTTTGTAGCATTACACGTAGATTTACAACAATAGCGTAGTATATATATGCATGTAAGCATGTAAAGTAGTATATATAATATTTTTCAATGATATAGTTTGATATTAAAAATTGTTTCAGACAATATTTCGAAATATAGTTAGTAACCAATTGAAATTTATATTACAGTAGTGTAAATACGTCGAAAATAGTTACATGTAAATTTCCATTTAATACCAGAATGTGTACAACGCGTTTAAGAAATATATAAATATATTCATTTTGTAAAACACAAATATTTTTTTGTATTTGAAATTGTATCAAGTACAGTCAGTTTTGTTTTGTAATTCAGTATTGTCCTTGATAACATTTTATCGTTTTTTGATTAATTTCAGTGCTCAGCAGGATAAAATGTTTCAGTTTACAAGTTACTGGAGCAACCATAATCGCATACAACGCTCGAACGTGGAAAAAAATAATATCTTCAGTGTATAACGTACGTGACAAATGAAGCAAACTGAAAGATTATAAAAATGTTCTGTGGAAATTTTAAAAATTCTCCATAAGATATGAAAAGTTCCTTTTTTACGTATAGAAATCATTAATCTTTCAAATTTCTTTTCAAATTTCTCTTTTTAAACTCCTTTCTTTTCACAATCTTCTTAAATTTCTTTCTTTTCAAAATCTTCGCCAATTTCTCTTTTCAAAATCTTTGCAAATTTCTTTTTTCAAAGATCTTTGCATTCAAAACCTCTTCAAATTTCTCTCAAAAATTTAAAAATACCTTTGTAATTACCATATTTGGGAGTTCAAATTTCTTTCTTTTCAAAATCTTCGCAAATTTCTTTTTTCAAAGATCTTTGCATTCAAAACCTCTTCAAATTTCTCTCAAAAATTTTACCTTTCTAACTACCATATTTGGGACTTCAAAATTTTTTTCTAAAAATTACAGAATTTCTTTGTGTACTCAAAAAAAGAGGAACTAAAAAATTTCTTCATACCCAATAACACATCCGCAATTGCCTCGAAAGTTAAGTTGACACACTCGAAAAATCGTGAAATAAAAATTAGATTTACAACTTGTTAAATTTCACAGAGTACAAGAAGAAGTGAATCGTCGACAGCTTACGAAAGATTAATTGCCCGTCGTTTTTCGAAGCTGGAAAGTACGCTGCGTTTAAATAATTAGAAGAAACGAACGAGGTCAACGTCGAAACTATGAATGTTTCGAATGAAAATTGACAAACCGCTGAAACAGGTGCGTGAAACGACTTGCTTCTTCAACTTGTCACTTTTTGCCGTGCAAGCATCGAATCACACTCTCGGCCAGAGTTTTCAATTAATTTCACCTGTACGTCGATGTGTGGAAAAAAAGAGTGGAAAAATGAACGGAAAACGAATGCAACGTCGAGTGAAAGTGACCGACTAAGTTCGAAACAACGTCTCTAAATTGCCCGGGTTTCCGTTTACGTTTACTCGTTTTTCTGCTGTAATTAGGATATCCCGGTAATCGAGCGCAACGTGAAACGATCCAACAGTCCATTTACAGGGAACGACATTCTTCAATTTCATGCCAATCTTTCATTATTTCTTATCGTTATTCCATCACTTTTTGTATGCAACAAATTTTAAGGGAATCTAATCGTCTCTGATAAATTGTTTCAATTAATTCGTCGTTACTTGTAAATTATTTCGTTTTCTTCTCATGACTGCCTTGTATCGGGAAAAAAATAAGATTACAATTTAAGAAGAATAAATGAAAAATTAGGTAGAAAATAATTTTTTATTGCGATAGGTTGTTAAGGAAGAAAATTACATTTTTTTCTATTAAAATATAAAATCATTACTGAAGCAGAATAAATGAGAAATAAAGTGGAAAGTAATTTTTTATTAGGATAGGTTGTTAAAGAAGAAAATTACATTTTTTTTTCTATTAAAATATAAGATCACAACTGAAGTAAAATAAATGAAAAATAAAATGGAAAATAATTTTTTATTAAGATAGGTTGTTAAAGAAGAATGTTACATTTTTTACTATTAAAATATTAAAGATAGTAAGTTACTAATGATATAATTCCTGATAGAATAATAAATTTGTTAAAAGGAATATTTGTCAAATTTGTACGTTTTTAAATGGAAATTTGTTTCCTGAAATGTTTCGAAACCTTACGGAAGCTCCGCTTCGAGGAAGCAACGTGATTTTATAAAATATTAAGAGGAAACTTCATGAATTAACGAAGGTTTGCATCTTGTAAAATGTCCAAGGTTGGAGTAGAATTTTTTCTGATTTTATTTATTTTAAAGCTATTCGAGAAGGTACAATTGTGATTTTTAATGTTTTTGTGATTTCCTTACAGCTACAAATTATTCGTTAATAATGTGTTTGAACTGAAAGCTGGGAAATGATAAAAATAATTAAATAAAATGTGACAGATAAATTCAGAAGGTGGAAAAGCTTCTTTTCAATATTTCTTTCTTTGCAAAAGCAATCTTTGGAATTGAGTGCAAGATGAATATTTCTCTGCTGCAGTATGTCATGTCGAACTTCTTGAATTTCATTTGAAAGTTTTACTAGCAATCTTACGATCTTCCAACGCATTTCATCAGTTTCTTGCATTACTTTCTTTACTGTACGATAACTTGCATTAAATATTA